TTCCCTGAAGGCTCCCGAGGGCAAAAAATGGACCTACAGGCAAACCAGAAGTCACTGTTCCCGAACTATCGAGTTGCCCGTACAGCTGTTTTTCGCCCTCTGGAACCTTCAGGGAAGCCTCCTGAAGACTCTGAAGTGTGAAAAACGGCTGTATGAACAATCTGGAAGTTTGGGAACTTTGACTTCCATTTTGTCCATAGGGCCATTTTTCGCCCTCTGGAGCATTCAGGAGACTTCCCTGAAGGCTCCCGAGGGCAAAAAATGGACCTACAGGCAAACCAGAAGTCACTGTTCCCGAACTATCGAGTTGCCCGTACAGCTGTTTTTCGCCCTCTGGAGCATTCAGGAGACTTCCCTGAAGGCTCCCGAGGGCAAAAAATGGACCTACAGGCAAACCAGAAGTCACTGTTCCCGAACTATCGAGTTGCCCGTACAGCTGTTTTTCGCCCTCTGGAACCTTCAGGGAAGCCTCCTGCAGCCTCCTGAGGGCCTCGGGGGGGGGGAGGGAGGCTGTTTTCACACTCCCCAGGCTCCAGAGGCTTTCTAGGAAAGCATGGGTCCCATCACAGGCCAAAAGTGGGGGGAGGGTGGGGTTGCACGCGTATGCATGTGGTGTGTGTGCGTGTCATGAGCACAGCATTATGAGTGTGGACCCCCCTGCACTTCCCCTGCTTTTGGCATGTGATCCGAAAAAGGTTAGCTATCACTGATATATAGTATAGGTCAGTGATGGCGAACCTTTTTTGGCTCACGTACCAAAAGTGGGGGGAGTGCAGGGTGGGTGTCATGCACGGGCATGCCACACCCACAACAATCATCACCCCCCAGACATGTGTTTTTGGTGTGCTTCTTTCACCTTTCCCTTCCCCTGAAACCTCCAGAGCACAAAACACCGGCCCTACGGGAAAACTGGAAGTTCAGGAACGGACTTCCAGTTTGCTCGTAGGGCCAGTTTTTGCCCTCTGGAGCCTTCAGGGAAGCCTCCTGAAAGCTCTGGAGGGTGAAAAACGGCCCTACAGACAAAGCAGAAGTTCGCCGTAAGGCTGTTTCTTGCCCTCGGAGCCTTCAGGAGGCTTCCTTGAAAGCTCCAGAGGGTGAGAAACAGTCTTACGGCCAAACCAGAAGTCACTTCCAGTTTGTCCGTAGGGCTGTTTTCCCCCCTCCAGAGCCTTCAGGATGATTCCCCGAAGGCCAAACCGGTACTAAAAAAATACTTTAAAAAGTAAAAAAAAAAGTCCCTACAATTAGCTGTCTGATAATCAGCTGTGCCACTCTATTTCTAATGAATATAAATCACATGACACGGCTGATTGTCACACAGCTGATCCTCGTAACTACCGGTTTGCCCGAACAAGTAGCATTTTTTTACTACTGGTTTGAGCAAACCGGTAGCATTTTTTACTTCTGGTTCAGGCAAAGCAAGGCAAACTGGTAACATTTCACCCCTGCCTGTACCTCTCTATCATGTAGTGTCAAGAAACAGACACTACAGGGATTCCAGAGTGCTATTTATATTGTTAGATATTGTAACAAAATCTTGAAAGTCTATCTGAGTTTCTTTGTGTGCCATCCAGTGGTGGGTTCTGGATCCCATTCCAACTGATACAGTTGGAACGGGCCTGGCAGTGTCCACATGGACATGCACAGCGAACGCATGCGTCTTAGAGCCTCCACGAACGTCTGCGATGCTCCAGATGCTCTGCGGAGCATCGCGCAGGCGCTGTATGTGCCATGCACTTTCGCGGAAGCACGGAAGCATTAAAAAACAGGTAAGGAAGTCAGGCAGGCAGGTGGGCCTCCAGAGCACAGTACCAGAACGGTATCCGGTGCTCCGGGCTGGCTCCAGTACGCCCGTACGGGGGTGTACTGCCTGCAACCCACCACTGGTGCCATCTTACATGGAATAAAATCAAGGCAAGGTTATTTTGAATTTCTTTCTCATTCTTGTTTCTATCTCTGGGTTATGTCATCTTTTTTGCAAGTTACTCCTTAATGGTCCTTTTGTATCTTCTATCTCTACATTCCTTTACAATACTCCAAAGTTAATTTTATTGGAACGGGGGCTTAATTGTACAACTGCAATTAAGCCAGCTGGGGAATTCTGGGAATTGAAGTCTGCACATCTTAAAGTTGCTGAGGTTGAGAAATATTGATCTTCATAGACAGAGTTGCACTTGAAGCAAAAGGATCCACTGGTAATTCGATGACTTTGGGGGCCCTGCTGGCAATTTTTACAAAATTTTAATATGTCTCTGTTATCTGTATTGATGGGGAACATCCATTCAAGGCAGTTACTTTCTTTGACATTTATGATACACACAACCCCCAAAACATCTAAGTAGCATGTTTCTTTATATGACAAAAAGGAGTTAGGGGCACAATAATAGGTTTAACTGCTTGGTAAGTTGCCCTACAACTAAAAAAGCAAAAAAGGCAAACCACAGAGTAATAAAAACTTGTTTTAGCTTCTAGCTGATCTATTGATATTTTTATTCAACTTCCATGGGAGGCATAGTGAACTGAAGACACCTCCATGAAAATGCAGTTGGTCATAGCAAAGTCTTCTAATTTTTCCAGTTAATGAGAAGATGGGAGATTACCCAGATGTATTCCAGATGGCTGTCCTCACAAGGAGACCATGGGATGGCAGTTTCTTCCATGGGTTTGAGCATCAGGAGATGAAGGGATTAGCCATTTTGGTCTCAATTAAAGCAAAGACTTGTAAAGTTCACTAGGTTTGCAAGCCTCATTTTCAGAAATTGCCAATAACCATATTAAAGTTATTAGAATGACAAGCTTAAAAAGTCACTGGATGAGTTTAGCTTCAACTTTGAACAAAACAGAAATTAATTACAAATTTAAGAACTTAAATATTTTGAAATAAACTGCAAAAAAGCTAAGATTTGATTTTAAAAATTGCTTTAACTGTTAAGGTAAATTTGAAATATTGACAGTAAGTATAAGATTTTGAAATTAGCTACAAAACAGTTTCTCGTGGGAAGTTATTTTGGCTCTCTCGATTCATCCCAAAGATAAACAACTTTCTGGTTTTATAAATTGAACGTTAGAGGGGATTAAACATTTTTTGTTGAAGGAAAAAAAAATTACAAGCCAACTTTTGGGGTCAGTTAATCAGGACTTACAAAATGACAAAAAAGTCATAACATTGAAAATATTAAAGAAGATCTTTGAAGAATGGAGCCAGAAACTAATAGTTACAATATCAATAGTGTCAATAAAGTTGTCTGATTCTATGGATGGACAGTGTCCAAATATGTCAATGAGAGAATGAAAGATGTGGAGTAAATTTTATCTGACAAGAAAAAGTAGGAAAGGAAGGGAACTACAAATGATAGGCCAAAAGATTGATTGAAAAGGCACTTTACTAATATTTAAACTGGCAGAAAATGACAAAAATTAAAGGGGACATGCGAGTGACAAAACAAAAGAATGTAGAGCCAATAAAAATGTTTTATTTTTGGATCTACAAAAGAGGCTTGTTAAACCTTTGAGCAATGTGAAGGCAGGATCTTCCATCAAGTTTGTAGCTGTAATGCAGCTTAAGTTGAATCTAAGCACAGTACTACCAAGTATCAAGGGAGAATGGAACATTTTTCAATAGATGTGTAAAAGCAAAAGTTCAACAATAATTTGTGGTGTGGGGGGGGATTAATATACATTAAGGGTTTGGACACAATTGCTAAAATGTTATGTTGCTCCTCTATGATTCATGGTCTTAGATACAGCTTTAAATTCAGATACTATGAAAATTTGAGAACTGTGGATATGATCCAGCCCACTGTTTGTTTGGAAGGGGGTTGTGTTCATGTATGATCAGAGATCTGTCTTTAATCTATATCTCCACAGTACTGAAATGGTGAATGGATTTAGACATTGATCAGAATGATTCCATAAGATATTTTTTGTAACTTTATAATTGTTATCCCTTAAGACTTCTGTAAGATTAGAGCTTCAGGATTGGTATTCACAAACAGTGACTCTAATTTCCATCCCATTTTTGACTCTGAAAAGGCATTGAGGCTAATGTGGAGTATTTTGGGTGAAGAAAAACTGAAGTCTAGAGTGCTGCAGAGATTGGTCCTCAGTATAGAAAAATGGTGTTGTTGAAGGAACTCATCTACCATTTTTTCTCTTATATGGGAACTGTGAATAGTATAGATGGGCTGTATATTGAAGTTCTGGCATGATCATCTTTTTACAGATGTTCAGGGTCGTATTGTCTAAATCTTGTTTGAGATTGTAACCCATGATACGAGCATTTCCTGATTGAAAAGGCTTCATATTCTTATTTTTAATTTGATTGTGATCAATTGCAGTTTCCTCTAAGAGGCATGACTCCATCAGTTCACTTTGTCTCTTCTGCAACAGATCAACTTCCTTGTACAGGGTTTTGAGGTCCATTCTTTCCTGAATTTTCATCCAAAATGATTTATTGAAATGTTTATAAAGTTCCCAATCTAAAGCACACCACTCTTTCACTTTCTCCTTATTCTCTGGCTTCAGAGTCTGAATGCTATGTCGGCTCCTGGCATTCATCTTGAAATAAATCACATCATCTAGATCCCAACACAAAAAATCCTTCAGAAGGATCATTGACTCATCAAAAAAATCAGCAATCAGTATCAAGTGAAAAATCTCTTCTATGTTATGGAAGACAGACTGGATATAATGCTCATCGTATTTTGCATTGTTGTTATACCCAAAATCAAACCACATGTTGTTCTTAGCATACATATTATCATTTTCAGCCATATTGTAGTATGATGAAGGAGATGATAGAAATTCATTAACGTTCTTGGATTTTTTAAATGCTGGTGCAATATTTTTGAAGTATACATAAGATGATTCAAACAATGATGCTGGGTGTCTCAAGATAGAAAAATAAAAGGTATTATTTGGCATTATTCTTCTGACCTTTTAAATGAAAGAGAGGAGGAGAGAGATTAAAATAAGTATCTATATTTTTGAATGATCAATAAAAATTTTGCATTCTGAAATAAATACAATTGACCTATTACTTGACCTATCACACATTTTGGGAAAAGTGGTGCAATATGAAATGGTGTTTGCTTTTGCATATCTTTAGAGATATACTATACATTAATTAAGCCATATTAATTGAGTCATTACAAGAATCCATAAGAAAACAAAAACTCGAATGGCACAAACAAGTTTTAAACTCCTTTGGGCTTTCATGCTTCTCCTTTTAAAGGAATGCTTTAAAAAAAATCACTTCCATCGTTAAGTAATTGTAGCAGGTTATATTATCCCAATCAGAATATCTATGCTTTATTTAACTAATTTAATATAAATTAGTCGCAAGGAGCGTGTGGAGAAGAGTGCGAAGTCCAGCTGAGGCAGGAAGGTTCTTGGCACTCCCCAGTCACTTTCACGGCTTCTCAGAGCACCAAGAACCTTCCTGCCTCCACTGAACTTCGTGCTCTTCTATGCGCCTCCTGGCAAGCGAGCAAGCAAGTGAGGATCAGGCTGCCTGATCCTCCATTACTTGCTTCTCTTTTGCCCGCCCAGACCACTTTGGCGCTGCTCTGGCTACCTCTGTCCATCCGTGCCCAGCAGCTGCAGTGACATCATCAAGATGAAGAATGAGAGGGAAGAACAGGCCGGGAGAGGACCCCGCCACGGCTTAGGCAGGACTCCGAGGTCCCTTCGCTTCCAAGCCACTTCATCTTGATGACGTCACTGCAACCTGCGGGGGGAGGATGGACGTAGGTAGCCAGAGTGAGGCCGAGGTGATCCGGGTGGGCGAAACAGCGAACAAGCGATGGAGGATCAGGCAGCCCTTGAATTGTTGTTCTATCTCTAAATATTCAATTTAACTGTACCTTTCACTGCCACTTTTGACTTAGAAGAATCACTTCCAGCTGCGTTTGAAGCTTTGCACCAGTGGTGGGTTTCAAAAATTGTTTGAACCTACTCTGTGGGTGTGGCCTCCTTTGTGGGAGTGGNTCTATCTATCTATCTATCTATCTATCTATCTATCTATCTATCTATCTATCTATCAATCATCAATCTGTCTGTCTGTCTGTCTATCTATCTATCTATCTATCTATCTATCTATCTATCTATCTATCTATCTATCTATCTAGCATCTATCTATCATCTATCTATCTTATCTATTCTTTGACTCATTCTTGACTCCTTGAGATTGTCTAGAGAAATCCGGGTAGCTTTTTAGGCAATATTTTTGGAAGTGGCTGGTCCTTGCCTTTTTCCTAGAGCTGAGAGAAAGTGATCTGCCCAAGGACAGCCAAGTGGTTTTGTCCGTAAGGCAAGATTAGAACATAGTCTCCTGATTTCAAGTCCTTAAGTCAGTGTTAAGTCACTGACTTAAGTACTATATCAAATTGGTTCTCATTTAAAATATAATTACATATTCAAATCAGTACATCAGTAAATTTACATCATAATCATATACACATTTTCCAAAGTAAACTAAGTTTTGCTCCTTAAGTAATACTTTTGCAATACAAGTATTTAGTTATATCCTTATTCATTTCTCCAATTCTTCAGCAAGCAAAGGCTTGCTTCATTCACTTCCTCCTACTTGCTGATATATTCTGGCAACTTCCCTAACCTAGTCCATATTAACAATAGTGAATGGCTTGAGATCTACAAAATGGTACAGTTAATTTATTCCTATCACATTCCTTACAGATATACATCATCTTGAATCTTAAGACTGGATTCTAATACATGAAACCATATCATGTTAAATTTCGTATGAGCCATGGATTCTTAGCTGCAATAAGTCACTTTGTGATTTAGTCACCAAATCATGATTAAGCCAGCCATAACTAACGCAGAACTGTGAGCCTGCACTTTTGGGTTATACTTGGTTTTATGTGGAATGCTGAGATGCACACTACTAAAGTAATGGATTTTTTAAAAAGTAATTTGGGATTGTTAAGAGCAAAATGTTTTTGCCCCTTTCTGTCACTGCCAACCTATTAGAAATGCTAACACAGAGAGGGGGGGAGGGGGAGAGAGAAAGGGAGAGGCACTTCAAGGGTTTGGGAATGCAAATAAGACATTGGATGATTGCAAATTGACTTTGCCTGTTCTTCTATGGGTGTTCAAGAACAAATACTTCTCTTTTAGTTACATAAGAATAGAAGAGCAACCAATTCAGATTAGATCAGGCGTGACCAACCTTTTGGCTTGTATGGGCCACATTGAATGAACCATCTTGTTGAACCATATATATAATATATCATGTAGTTCAGAGGTGGGTTCCTACCGGTTTGGACCAGTTCGGCTGAGCTGGTAATGGTATGCTGGCCTGAATCGAAGAAGTGGCAATGACCCAGGCTGGACACGCCTCCAAACCAGTTCCCCAGTTGCCACCGTTGCTGACACCATCTTGTTTTTGAGTTCTGCACATGCGCAGAACAATTCCCATTGAACTCTGCATGTGCGCACAGTGCACATCTAGCGTGCAGATGAGCGAACCAGCAGTAACGCCGGCCCGAACCCACCCCTCATATAGTTAATGTATATACTGTACATATAAGTGTTAAAATTTACAATCTTCACTATCTACTAGATAGTCTGGACTACACCCCTCTTAGTGGAGCATTTTGTTTCCCACCAAATATCTTGAGAACAAAACATGGAGATTTCCTTACCCACTCTTGTTCCCTTACAAATGATGTTTGGAGGTAAGAGATAGGGGGGGGGGGGATCTCCCTGCTTATTTTGTCCAGGCCATCCATGATTTTATACATTTCAGGAATGTGCCCACTTAGTTATCTTTTTTCCTAAGCCAAGCAGTACAAGCATCTATCCTTTTCTCATAGGGAAGACATTCAAAGTCCCTCATGCTTTGGATTGCCTCCTCCTTCATTTTAGCCAGTTCTGTATATCTATTTTTAAGTTTGGCAATCTGAACTGTGCACAGCATTCCAGATGCTGACACCTCATGTATTTGTTTAACAGCACTTCAATTTTGTCATAATAAGCTTTAGCTGGTGAAATCACCCTTTTTCTTCTCTATGTATAGGACCCAATATCTGAATGTACAGCTTGTCCAGATTATGTTTGCCATTTGGTGCAACGCTTACTTTGTTGAAAGAGATCTTTCTGGTGTTTGTCTTCTGGGCAGAGCAAACAGGAAATGTGTTGGAGGGTGTTTGGATTGCAAAAGGATAAGGATATATATATTTGGTCACAAAAATAGTTGCTTCTGAATTTTAAAGCCTTTTAAATGTCATCATACTTGAGAATGGCTTTTGTTAGTTCAGCCTGAATCATCAACTTGTTGTTTCCTTCATCTGTCACAAATGTTTGAAGTATCAAATTTATATTTAAGAAATCTTAAAATGCAATATAGAGTTGAGTTTCATAGGTAATTCATGTAGCTTTAGACTATTAAAATATTATGTTTCTATCAGAGATGGGTTTCTGCCGGTTCGCCCTGAATCAGGCAAACCGGTAGTGGCAATGGTAGGAGGCTCCGCCCACCCATCTGGACGCTTCGGTGCATGCAAGCGCGTATGCGTGCACGAGGAAACGGTAGTAAAATAAATTGAAACCCACCGCTGGTTTGCATGTGATACTTATACACATAGTAAATGAATATGCTATATCTAGTGTTGTTTTGATGTTATCAAAAACATTTTATGCTCAAACAAGTAAGACATCTAATGTTCATAAATGTCATAATGTCCTACAGTTGCCTGAGGACAAGATTCACCATGCTTAGAAAAAAAAAAAGCAACCAAAAATGCACCTGTGTACAGATAGTCCTTGACTTATGACTAAGTGACCATTCAAACTTCCAATGGACTTACCTGATGGACACTTATGACCTGAATTTGAAGTTCTAATGGTCACCCTCCCACAGTCACATGACCAAACTTTGGGCGCTCACAACTGATCCATATTTACAATTGTTTTGTAAATCCCTCAGTCATGTGACTACATTTTATGAAGGTTTCACCAAAAACCCTGCATTTTTCCAGTTTTAAGCAAAACCATGACTACAGAATGCTAAGTGACAAAAAATATATTGTAAAATCATGTGACAGACCTGCTTTGCGACCATCATGAGTTATGACTGTGATAGACAGGCTTCATTATGATTGTAACTTGAGGATTCGCTGTAGCCACAACCAAGTCCTCTACATGGACACATTTGAATTTGCAAAAATGAAATCGAACAAGCTTCCCTTCCTTTCCCATACTCTTCTTTTATGGCACTGTAATTGCTAACATTTGTGTTAGGAAGAGGTAAACAGCTCAGGTTTGTACCCCAACTTCTTCAGACTGAATATTCAAATATGGCAAACAACGTTACCTCTGTTCTATTCTTCAGCCCCTGCCTTTGTTATGGTATAAAAGTAAACCCAAGCACTTGGACCTTTGTGATTATACATACTATGCTATACATACATTATAGCAGTCATATTCAATGTGGCCAATTGTGTTACTTCCTTTATTTTAGTTACTGATTTTCTACAATTGCCCATTGACTAATCCCTATTATATTTTATTGGTGTTTTATGATGTATACCATAAATATGAAAGAATGGCCTTTGCAGAAAGGCAAATTCCCTTTGCCTTCCCCTTTACCCTACCATCTAACGAGAGACTATGATGCTTGTAAAATCTTGCATTAAATGCTGCAGTATAGGTGCAATCTAAGGAAATTGCACCATTGGGCCACAGGCAATGCAATGGCTCTAAATTCATTTTACATAATTGGTTGAAAAAAATAAATAAAGGAAAAAAGCATAGATGTGTATGTCTATGAAGACTCTTTGTCATCCAAGTCATAGCTGTTCCAAAAGTGGTTTTGATTTTTGAAACGGCAACTGGACTGATTTTTTGAGGGAGGAGATGTTCTGCTTCCGACCTTGGAAATTTCATCAGTTGTGTTGGATGGTGTGGGAGATTATCTTACACGATGGTTCGTGTATAGGTACATCCCTGCTGTGTACAGGTAGTCCTCAACTTATGACCACAATTGAGATCAAAATTTCTGTTGTTAAGTGAGACATTTTCTAAGTGAGCTATGCCCCATTTTATGACTTTTCTTGCCACAGTTGTTAAGTGAATCACTACAGTATGTAAGTGAGTAACCTGGTTGTTAAGTGAATCTGGCTTCCCCATTGCTTTGCTTGTCAGAAGTTCACAAAAGGCGAACACATCGCCTTGGGACACAGCAATGGTCATAAATATGAACCAGTTGCCAAGCATCTACATGTTGATCCCATAATCATGGGGATGCTACAAAGGTTGCAGAGATGGTATTCAGCCAGTTCTGGCCTGTTCCGGAGAACCGGTAGTGGAAATTTTGAATAGTTCGGAGAACCGGCAAATAGGCTGGCCCCGCCCCCACTGCATCCCAGCTGATCTGCCCTGAACAGGAAAACAGAGCTGAAAAGCAGGTTAGTGAAGTGGAGAGGGAATGGGGATCCTTCCCCTGCCACGCCCACAAAGCCACGCCCACAGAATCTGTAGTAAAAAAATTTGAATCCCACCATTGAAAGGTTGTAACTATGAAGAATGGTCATAAGTCACATTAACTTTGAAAGGCCCTTAAACAAACTGTTGTAAGTCAAGGGTTACTTGTATATTATCAGGTTACCGCACTGGTTTTGATTACTTTTCCAAAGACCTTAGAAATAGAGGCCTTTTGAAAGTAACTGCCAATAGAGAAAAAAGAAACAGCATTGGGAAATATAAATAAAAAATTACCAAGATTGACAGTAATTTCAATGTAGGGGAAAGAAAGATTTACTTATACTGGATACTTAGTTCTGGATATTATTCAAAAGGTCAATACCGACTTAACTGATTATGGAAATAATAGATGTGGAAATCCTTAAGCCTTAAGACCTAAAAGAGTATGAAATAGGTTATATCTAACGCTAAGTAGAATAATCCATTTTGGAATATGTTGAGAAATGTAGTTTAATTATTAACACTGTTTAATTCATGTTCACATTTGTGATACAGAAAAACATAATAAAAGAATTGTGGGAATTAATGAATTAATTTGAGTATATTACACGAAAAAAACTAATTTGAATATATTACAAGAATTTTGCAGTCATTTTTCAAACATTTCCTTGAAATCTCATTGCATGAACTTTAGAATCGTCTGTCAGATGATTCTATATAGTCCTCAAATATTTACATAACATCCTCAGTTTTTAAAGAAACTTGAGAAAGCTCTTATGAAACGAAACTCCAGAGTTAGTTGATATAGATTACAACTGTGTGCATCCAAAGAAAAGAAAAAAAAGCCTCCTAACAATTAAGCCCAAAATTGTTGAGAGTTTTCTCCCATTTTACTACCTTTTTTGCTGCCATTGTTAAGTGAATCATGAGGTGATTAAGTCAATCTGATTTACCCAATTGACTATAGTTGTTGGAAGCCATCTGGGAACATCACACATGGTGATCACATCACCCAGAGACAGTAGAATTGTCATAAATATAGGCCATTTGCCAATTCCTCAAATTCTGATCACGTAACCATGAGGATGCTGCAACACTCGTAAGCATGAAAATCAGTCATAAATCACTTTTTGAATGGTCACTAAACAAATAGTTCTAAATTGAGGACTACAAGTAGTGATGACCTAATGTTAATAGGCTTTCTCTACAAAAAAAAATTCTTTGTGCAAGCTTTTGTTACATTGGTGAAGGATCTTGATCACTGTTCCCTCTAAGGTGCGCGGCTGCGTGGCCGCGCACGTCGCAAGAAAACCCCGCGCAGCAGTTTCTATCTGCCGCGCAGAGTTTTCTGTAAAGCAAACGTGGGGAAGTCCTTTGCAGGCGGCTACAACTGGCCGCCTGCAAAGGACCTCCCCAGACTTGTTTTGAAGAGCACGGCTCTTCAAATCCATGTTCGGGGGATCCCTTGGNTATAGGTGTGGCCTGCTTTCTGGGTCCACTGGTGGAACCTCTTCTAACCGGTTCGGTAGATTTGACGAACCGGTTCTACCGAATAGGTGCGAACTGGTAAGAACCCACCTCTGCTTTGCACAAATATTCTGCAGAATCAGTTTTCGTAACTGCTTGGATCTCTAAGAGAGCTGTTCCATTTGCCAACCTGAAGCTGCATTTATCAGAGGATCTAAGCCAGTGTTTCTCAACCTTGACAAATTGAAGATGTCCGGACTTCAACTCCCAGAATTTCCCAGCCAGCTAATTCCCTTCTTGCTAATTATCCCAGTGCCGGGTGAACATACCAAAGAAGGGAGGAGTAGGGGGAAAGGACTATAAGGTTTGTCCTTTTATTAGCTTCCTCATGAGTAAAGTTCCAGAAACTTTTGGAACTGTTTAAGCTCACCCAGCTCTTTGGGGTCATACATCAGCATCTTCTGATGCTGTAAGTATATTCAAGGTCAATTTCTTTTTAAGATTTGGAATCTCCTCATTCTTTGATATAAATTCTGCAAATTCCAAATTAAGCATCAACACAGATTAACACGCAACAATGACCCCTACAGCAGGCACTAACTCCAACAGACAAAAGCGGAAATTAAAAAATGGAAACTTTACAAAATAACTTCTATATTCTTACCTCGTGCAAATTAAACTTCAGATGATTGCCCATGATGTTGAACTTATTTCCCAGCCTTTTGAATTCCTCAACATATGACGCTTGGAAGGGATAAGGATAACCAAGATGGGACCTTTTCCCAAAGGGTAGGGCCATGGTGAGGTTATGTTTCTCTGAGAAGCGGCAGAGGATGTTGAGTATGGTACTGCTAGCTGTTTTGTGGGTCTTGAGGAACATGACATTTTTGATGGGTTGACAGATTTTGGAAGGATGCGTCTGCCTAGATAAATACAGAGGAAATAACCAAGGAAAAATATTTAGGAACTACCTTTCCCACTTGGTAATTCATTCCTTATGACTGCCATGGTCTTCCCTGCTTTCCTTTGTATTTCTACGTTTAGTCTGATTTGTTTTTATTTCTCCGACACATTTCAATAGGTCATGTGCCTACATATGTTTAAAAACTGGAAGATTCTAATTTGTGAATTGTCTGGGGCATTTATGAGCCATAAACTATGTAATTAACATACAGGGCAGTAATGGTTTTCTCTTGCCTTCGCTACTGGTTTGGAATGGGGAGTGTGCATGCATGCTCACTTTCCTTCCCTGCATGCGCAAAACCTTCTGCGCATGTACATCCATGATGATGTCTGGGAAGGTGGGCGGAGCCTCCCACTGCTGCCACTACTGGTATGCCCGAACAGGGGTGAACCGGCAGAATACCACCTCTGATATGGGGCCTTCTTTGTACTTTAATAATAAAGCTTGAGCTTGTAATAAATCTTTATATTCATTTAAACTGCCTGAATCTCCTGATTTCCCCAGTGCTTGACACACAGCACAGTTATTCAAATACATTTACAATTTCTATGCAAGATACTCTTGTAAGCATTGTATTGTTACCCACATCTCACCCATAGAGGGTATATGCAGCATACCAATACACCCAGGATGTAGTTTTTAATTATCAATAATTGTAATATTAGTTTTTTTTTAAATCATACACACACACACACACACACACACACTATACCTGCAATCCAGTGTGAAAAGAGAGGGAATAACACTTGGTGGAATGTAGAACTTTCTTATCATTGCAATTCAGTAGCTCAATATCAGTATTCTTTAAAGGATAATGTATTTCTATTGTATTTGTTTTAGAAAATACACTTACTTGATGTCCGTTGTAGCATAGTATTGAAAGTATCCTATCAGGGTAAGACCTGCCAGCCAAAGAATGAGATGCAAAAATCGCTGAAAAAACCTAGAAAAAACCCCAGAAACAATCTTCATTTTCTAATTATCTACCAGAGTTCTTAGGATATTTATACATTACAAACTGTCTTTGCAACTCCTGAATGTAATGCATTCATCTCTTTACCCACCATAGACCAATAAAGCCACTGGGGGGAAAATGTAGATAAGATGTAGATGATATAAAGAATTGTGATTTGTATAAGCTCAGCTTTGAACAAATGGTTCTTGGACCTTTGGCTAAAAGTGGGACCTACTAAAATAAAAAGTGCAACATAAGACAGAAATGAGGGGAATTTTAAATGAGATGGAGCTGGAGTTCCAAAGCATCAAGGATTTGATAAAGGAACAACACAAGGCAATTGTGGAATTATTTGATGGCATAGAACAAAAACTGGAAAAAATTATACAAGGGACAATGAGCAAAGACCAGGATGTTCAGGGGGAAAAAAAACAGTAGAAGGAATGGAGAAAAAAGCAGAACTGAGAAATCAGCAAAAAGAAGACAACAGGGAAGAGATACCATCAGCTAATAATGATTGAGGAATTTAATCAGGAGGAAAATAATTTAAAAGTCCTAAAAAGAGAATGGAAGATACAGATATTTTGGGAAAGAACATAGGGATTAGAACAGATAGTTTTAAAATTAGACCATGGAAAAGGGTAGGGAGGGGAGAAAAAGTTGGATTGAATAGTCAGGATGTAGATGTAGATAGAATTAAGGATCCTAGAGAAGAATATGGGAGGCAAGTTTAAAAAAAAAGATAAGACTTAAGGTACTGTTGAGGTTAAGAGACGATGGATAGAAAAAGGAGAGCGGGGAAAAGATTTTTAAGAATATATTTAAACAAAAACATGTATATTAACATTAGAATTATATAGACTGGATAATTATTTTGTATGTACTGTGATAGACATTAGAATAATATTTCAATACAAATAGATATGAAGAGTGAAATATGGGAATTATGAATAAGAATGAAGCATTAATTGGAAAATTAGAGAATGAATGATGATATTATTAACATGCTCAAATAATATAATGATTAGCAGTGAAATAATAAAATAAATATTAATAAAATTACATGAGTAATTAGATAGTGAAAGTATATATTTTAATATAAGCATGTATATATATGTTTTCGTAGATTTCGTAGATTTGCGTAGATCTTTATGGGTGTAGGTATGCTGGTCTTGTTGTATTCGGGTCTTTTCCCATGTAAAACACAATATCAAGACAGCCTTCAACACTGACCAAAAAATAGCCAACATCTTAAGAAACCCCAAAGACAAAATCCAGCTAAAAAACCAAGGAGTCTACGAAATACCATGCAAAATCTGCATGCAACATACATACATAGGACAAATGAACAGGAGAATAAATGCATGCATCACAGAACACAACAACGCAGTAAGAAAAAAAGAAAAAACTTTGGGCCAAAACCCAGCCTGAAGATGGGGAGTGAGACCTCGCCGAAACGTTGCCAAGACAATCTCAATTTTACATGGAAAAAGACCCGAATAACAACAAGACCAGCATACATACATACATACATACATACATACATACATACATACATACATGTTCTGACCCCCCAAACATACATTCATACATATACATACACACACACACATATATATACATACATACATAACAAGATATATGTAATAATAAGAAGGAGGTTTAGAAATTGAATGGCAGTAGTATTAGATATGTTTAAACAATATGAAATGAAAATGTAATGTAATAACTATGAGTAATAATATTATGTTTATGTGTACTAAAATGTATGATACCCAGGTATCACATCATTCATGCATTGATATGTATAAGCAATATAAAATAAAAAACTTGACAAAAAAGCTTATATTCAGTAAAGTTAAAGTTCAATTAAAAGAATTCAAACACTTATATACACTCAATACACACATACAGACACTCATGGCTCTTTGCCATTGCCTTTTTTTTCCCAACACAAAATAAGCTTTCTATTCGGAACATTTCTTTTGTATTTTGTGGTTATTCTCATTTTATTATATTCCAGCTTTTAAATAAAGAGAACTCCAAAAGAAAATCTCAAGCCTTCCTGGGTATCCTTAAGAAGGGGCCAAAATAGGAAGTTATCTGTGAATGTACAGAGAACCCGGATAAAAGCACTTGTATTCTAAAGCCCTATTTACTCAAATAACAAAGGATAAGAGGCATACATCACATAATAAATATTTTAAAGGTAATAACTTTTTCTCGATGTACAATATTGTAATGGTAGCATGAATTGACTACTGTTATTGGTAGAAATATCTGTTTCTTTTATTTTTCACAAAAAATGGGATTGTGAAAGGCACTCCATGCTTGAATTATATGCAGAATTCAAATTTAACTATTAAAACAGAGTATATATGACTGCCTCCATGCAGGAATACTCCAGCTGCTGTATTCAGAAATGTGGTCTTTATTTTAACATTGTTGACTTACAAATGTAATGCATGTTATTACAATCAAGTAGGGTAAAAATTCTAAAATGTTGAAAGGGACAGATTAAGTTGCATTTATCTATGCCATTGATTTCTGTTTTTTTTTCCATTTATCTTAGAGCTTAAGAGTGCTCCTATCAGTCAGCTATAACAGATTTGTACAACAATCTGTTTAAGATCATTCCTAAGCAATGTAGAGAGTTTATAAATACTGGTGTGGGTGTTGCTAATTAGTCCTACAAATTGTAGACTATAGTTTAAGAAAATGTTTTATAGCAGTTTCTGAATTAAGTTACTTCTGGATAGTCAACATCTGTTGCTACCAATCAACAAGCATTGAAATCTTTATCTTTATAAGATGCTGTATCCAAAAATGTTGTTTCTTTAGTCCTCTCAATCATCCATGGAAAACAAACACTAATTGTTTTGTTTTCCATCATTATTTGAAGACATATACTTTGACCATTTATGTAAATCCTACTTTATAACCAGTGGTGGGATTCAAATTTTTTTTACTACTGGTTCTGTGGGTGTGGCTTTGTGGGTGTGGTAGGGGAAGGATACAGCAAAATCCCCATTCCCTCCCTGGTGCAAGGTTACTGCAAAATCCCCATTCC